GGTGGAAGTACGTTACTAGATCACTGATGCTAGAAGTACGTCACTAGATCACTGATGGTGGAAGTACGTTACTAGATCACTGATGCTAGAAGTACGTAATAAATTAGGGAATGTTAAATGGCAATCATTAATTAACCCTAAGTTATCAAGTCTGTGGAGCATGTATCGTCATCGTGACAGAGAGACTGTCAGTTCTAGCGAGCAGGTTACCACACTTGAAGCTGCCTGACCCGTGCACTTAAATGGGACGCCTGCGAAGAAGAGCCCAGCTTGCTCTGCCCGCGCGCTCTGAACTAGCCTCCTATTGATGAGTGTCGGCACTTGGATTTAGATATACAAGTTAGGCCTAAGTACAAATTATGTTTCTAAGTAGTACGTGTGTGAAATGGACCCTAGTGACCAACAGGAGTCGATTTTCAGCTCCAGGGGTTCGCTAGGGTCATAAGAGTGTCCATGTAGCTTCTGAACTTATAATTTCTTCTCTTTCTCTAGCCACCCCTTGTTCCCGCTGCTCGCGCTCATATTTGAAAAGTGTGAACTAGCAACATGCACTCCGCGGGAACCCGGAATCGCGGGAGGCGACGTCTGTTCGTCCGAGTCTTTCAACGAAGACATTGCCGTTTTTGCCAAACAGGTGATTCTTTCTATTATCTATCTTGAAGTCTTTCTTTCTGTCTCTTCATAACACTTGTTCCACAGTTGAGAGTTACACTATAGAATTGATGAATAACTTTATGTCGACAGTCAATCACTTAATGTTCACATGAACGATATGTTTTTTAAACACATAAAGCGAGAACTGATAAATACGTTAGTTTATCTGAAACTCGAGGTACCAAAACATACAGTTGCACCTGTAAATACGAGGGCAGTGTAAACGGATATTCTGAGATTTGTATTTTGAGGGTTACCATCTCATTCAGAAGGATTATTGTGTACGTACTGTTGTTGTAACAACAGTAGGTTAAAGTAACACGAGGGACTTGGTTAGTCTAATGTTAATAGTACTGTAGGCATTAATTAGCATAAACACATACACAATATATATATATATATATATATATATATATATATATAT